TCTTTCTGTTCCAACGTGATACCATCATCTAGATTACAAGAACCCTTTCTAGGCTGCCTTTTTCAGCATCCTGTTTTCCAGAGCAGCCAACCTGATCCATAAATAAGGGCTAGCTGACCCTCTTATTCTGCTGCTCTCCAGCAGCTGGCATTCAGAGCCATGATGCCTCTCATCTTGTTTTACAGCCACCAATAGTTGTATCCTCCTCCCCTACAAAAAACTTTCCAATTTGATAGTCCTCATTCAGTACATCATTTTTTTATTTTTTAAATGCTTTTTAATAAATTTTCAGAAACAAAGTCAAATAAAACATAAACTCTTACATTCAACATTTTAGTATTTTCTTATTTACCCTGCGCTTTGTCGCGCTCGGACTTCCTTCCTTCCCTGCTTCGGCTTTCACAAGTTAACGTCCACTCTTACAGATTCTTATTTACACTCCATCCACATCACAAGATTTATGTTCACCCTGCTACAGTTTTTAAGCTTCTACAATTATTCCGTATATACACAACAAATTTACTCCACTCCCCTTCAAACTTTGTTACTTTTTGGTATCTAATCTTATAAGTCATTTTCGCCAACTCAACATATTCAAACATTTTCGTCTGCCACTCTATTCAAGTTGGAATCTCCTGGGTTTTCCATTTCTGGGCCATGAGAATCCTAGTGGTCGTGGCGTACATAAATAACTTACAGTCCTCTTTTCTTACTTCATCTCCTATTATCCCTAGCAAGAAAGCCTCTGGTTTCTTTGGGAATGAGTATTTAAACAGTTTTTTCCATTTCGTTATATATCATATCCCAATTTTTTTTTCATTTTTTCGCATGTCCACCACATGTGGAAAAGTTCACCATCCTTTAATTTACACTTCCTCATTCACTACATCTTGTGGCAGTGAGTTCCTTGGCTTAGCTGTGCTCAGTGGGAAGAGGCACTTCCTCTGTCCTGGTCCACATCTCCACTTTTCAGCTTTACTGGTTGACCCCGTGTCCCAGAATTATGAGAAAAAGAAGAAAAACTCTTATCCGCTCATTGTCTTATTATTATGATTGACTTGCAAATCTTTTCACCAAGGGAATTTTACCATGTGCTCTCATATCTTTGGATAATGATAGTTGTCTTCTTGGGAGGCTTACCCAATCGAGAGGTGGAGAAATTTAGATAACGTTAGACAGAAATTACTTGCTGTGGTTGCCAGTTCCATTGACCTACGTGTGCAATGTCTGTGTTACTCTGACCCTTGGACAGATAGGGGAGAGCCCTATCATCGACCCTTTTGTTCTTCTTCTTGCTCCTTCCCCCTCGTGATTCCCCGCTCCCACTTGAGTTTCCCTTAAGAACGCAGCATGGATCCCAACCCACAATTCCATAGTCCCCAGCTTTTTCTTTGTCCTTGACGTGATCAGATCCAGATTTAGCAGAAAGTGATCCAGATAACTGCTTGTCTATTCAAGTATCCACTCAACAGATGCTTCATTGCGTTTGATGGTTGTGTTGTTCCCTGCTTTTTCCTCTGAAATGAAGCCTAAAGTAGTTAATAAGTACAATTAATCAGTTGCACAAGTAATCTATGAATAGAGGCACAGTGGTCCAATGTGCACGTAATGCCAAACCATGGTTTAGTGCAGAAGCCTTTGCAAACCTAGGTGATACTTTGGGCTCAAGCACTCCCCTCTCATGTTACCCCTGCAGTCAGGAGGCAGAAATAAACCAGTATTCAGTTGCACTTTAAGCAGTCCAGGTGATCAGGAATTCACTGTGCTTTCAGTTTCATTCCTTGCCATGTGAACTAGGAATCGTGGTTTAAAAGGCGCACTCGTCAATTTTAAAACAAGCCAACTTCCAACAATGGGTTGATACAAGGCTGGCTTGTTTAACAAGTAGGTGTTTTAAGTGGCGGCTGGATTGTGATATAGAGGTTTATAAAATAAAATATTTTCTTCCTTTCTTATAATAGTAGAACTCAGGATCACCTAATCCGTTGACTATAGGTTTGCAGGCAAGAAAATAAAGTGTATCTTCATGCAATGTGCTGTTGTCTCATGAAATTCACTACTCTTCCATACTCTTCTAGACTCTCAAAAGTTTGTGAGCATGCTCAGACCTCGTTCAGCTACACATCCATGGTGGAAAGGTCTATTTAGCCAGTGCAGCTACAGTCGTATCTTGGTTTTCAAACAGCTTAGTTCTCGAACGTTTTGGCTCCCGAACGCTGCAAACCTGGAAGTGAGTGTTCCGGTTTGCGAAGTATTTTTGGAAGCCTAACGTGTGATGGGGCTTCTGTGGCTTTCAATCAGAAGCCTTGCTTTGGTTTCCGAACGTTTTGGAAGTCAAACGGACCTCCAGAACGGATTCCACTCGACTTCCAAGATATGATTGTAAATGGAAATGTCACCTATGGTAGGAATTCACATCTAAGGATGAATAGGAGGTCATGTTGAGTGAGCTTTCAGTGGTCTCCTGTTGGCTGCTCTTAAAAACACAGGACAGGACTGGATGGATCTTTCGTCTGATCCAGCAAGACAGTATTGGGTTTTTTTTCATGTTCTAGATGCTTCAGTGCATGTTGCTTGCACGGAAACATCCCAGTGAAAAATGCAAAGCAGCCTTTTGAAAGGAAAGGAGGTGGACATTCCAGGCAAGTCCACACATGACCTTGGTTTTTGCTAAGCTGAAGAGTGATCGGCAGTCTGTCCTAACATGCTTATATTTGAGCAGAAATGATGCTTGCAGAAACCAAAAAGCAAATAAAAGGTCTCTCTCTTCGTATAAATTCGTATCGCTTACGTCTATATAGCTTACACTGACATTTTTTGTATTGTGCAAATGAACTGAGTAGCTGTTTCAAAAGTGATTGAGATGTACTTGTCCTGTACGTGGAAGGCAGGGAGGGACAGGGCAGAGCCACACCATAAAGTTGAAGTACATTTAAAGTACCTCAACCCCCCAAAATCCTGTATTTTTCACCTCATAGAGCTACAGTTCCCAGTACCCGTGTCAAACTTACAGTTCCCAGGGTTCTTTGAGGAACGGCATGTGCTTTGAATTTACGGCATTGATCTGCCCACAGTTAGGTCTCACCGCCATATGCATTTCTTTCAATGCCTGCAACACTGATAGGGGAATTGAAATAAAGCTGCCCATTTCAAGGTGACTGCAGGATTGGGATTTGAACTCTTGTCCCCGTTCAGATTAGGTTTCTGTTGCCCTACATTTGCATGGTTTGTGGGCGGGGAAACAGAGCGCTGGCATAACTTGCTGGAATATTTCTTTGCCGGCTTTAGGGGAGAAGGGAAAAGAATGTAAGCTTTTGACTTTGATTTTTTTAAACAACAACAACAACACATAAATGGGCAGCACTTCCTCTGTGCATCTTCTGCAGCCTGCCTTTTGTGCAGAGCTGTAATTTTCCTATTTTTGTAAACTAGGCAGCAATTGTGGCTTGAGCTAAGCACATGCTGGTTTGTGCATTAGCTCTGGCCTCTCTCCCTCCCTCCCTCCTTCTCTTTCTCTCTCTTTTTGCACTAAGAAGCATGGAATGACAAACCGGCAATGCCGGCACCAGAGATGAAAGTGCGATACAATTAGCCTGTTCCATAAATATTAATTGAGTTTGTCTGTTTTACTGTGTGGTTTTAGTCTTCCTGATTTGTTAGTTGCTCTGGGAACCCAGCAGGGTTGATGAACAAAATACAAATTTATGAAATAAAAGAAATGCAGTGCTCGCATGTGGTGGTTCATAGATTCTGACCAGCGTCACCAACCTGCATGCTTGGCTGGTCTGCGCATTGTTCCGGGAGGTGCTTTGAGACAGGAGATAAATATTGCAAACGGGTTGTTGCACTATCACAAATGGGCGATGAACCACAGTTTTTCTCAACTTATTGCAAGAAAGAAATTCGACTCAGTTTGCATTTGAAGGTGAACTTTCAAAATTTGCACTTTTTGAAACAATGCTCAAATCGAAACACAGCGATCCTTCAAAATCCAAATTTCTCTGAATTTTGCAACGTGGTTTTCCATGCATATACCAGGGTTGCCGAGGTCAGGGAGAAGGATGAACCACTGCTTGTCTTGAGCAGCAGCTGCCTCCTCCAGTGAGGGCTGCGAAGGAAGCATCCCATGGCCTCTCCATGGCCGCTGCTGCCAGCTTCCTCCCTTGGGCAGCTCGAAGCAACTGCTGGAGAGCAGGCAACGAGGAGAAGAGGCTGTCATCACCAGCGAGGCCCAGTCCCGTTTAATGTGCTGGCTCTGAAGGGCAGGCAGAGAATAGGGCTGCCCTGGGATGGAAGAAAGGGAGAGTGGAGCAGAGTCTCTCTTCTTCTTTTAATGCTTTGCATGTCCATGTCTAATCTTGCTCCTTTCTAAAATGTATGTACAGTGGTACCTCGGGTTACATACGCTTCAGGTTACATACGCTTCAGGTTACACACTCCGCTAACCCAGAAATAGTGCTTCAGGTTAAGAACTTTGCTTCAGGATAAGAACAGAAATCATGCTCTGCCGGCACGGCAGCAGCGGGAGGCCCCATTAGCTAAAGTGGTGCTTCAGGTTAAGAACAGTTTCAGGTTAAGAACAGACCTCCGGAACGAATTAATTACTTAACCCGAGGTACCACTGTATTGGTATGTGTTTTTCATTTTGTAAATCTACCAAAGAATAAAATAAAATCTGGATTAAGTGGTTTTCTCAAGACAGCGGAGGGTGGGTGTTCTGTGTCCCATTGGTGTAGTGGTGGTGTAAATGCTCTGTGGCAGTGGGATGTCTGTGTGGCAAAAAATGGGAGGTTGGGGGGGGGTCAGTTGAGGGGCGAGTGGGAAATGTTCCTGTTTTCATCTGTGGAATATTGGAGGCTATGTAGTCCTCTTTGTCTTGTCCTAAGCCCAAATGCTTAATGCAGCACAATACAAACAAACAAACAAACAAACCCAAACAAATTGAAACAAACAAACACACCCATTCTCTCTCTCTCTCTGCTCCCTTCTCTCCCTGATAGGTGCCTTTGTTGTGTGTTGGACTCCTGGCCTCGTCGTCCTTCTTCTCGACGGCTTGAACTGCACTCGTTGTGAGGTACAGAATGTGAAGCGGTGGTTCCTCCTCCTAGCCCTTCTGAACTCTGTCATGAACCCCATCATTTACTCGTACAAAGACGACGAGATGTCAAGCACGATGAGGCGCATGATCTGCTGCTCTTTTGAGGAGAGGCCGGAGCGCCGGTCTTCGCGGATCCCCTCCACGGTGCTCAACAGGAGTATGGACACCTCTAGTCAATACTTAGAAAATGGCATCACCCAAGGGACGATCAGTGGCAAAGGAAACACCTGAGCCACACTCTCTCATTCTTCCTCCTGAAGAAGTGGACTGTGGCTTGCGCGGCGGATGCAAGCAGACTGAGCACTGAACCAGCTGAGTTCGTAATCCCGAAACAGCAGAAGTGTATACTCTGTGTGCCAGGAAACCCAAACCCCAGTGTGGCCTGACATCATTGTAAATAATTATTGGATGAGAGGGGGAATATGCTGGAAGGGATGGAGAAGAATAGAAGGAGCGGACTTATTCTGCAGTGTGTGTTTTTAAAGTTGGAAAAACTGTACAACCGGCATTGTGGAGTCCTCATTCTTCAGAGGCCAAGTTACCACTGTGTGTGGCATATACCACTACAGACTGCTGAGATGAGGCTGGTTCTCACATCTAAATGCTTAGCTATCTATATCTATTATCTATCTGTCTATCATCTCCACATAGAGAACTAGGATATCAGGGAGAAGAGTTGTAAACTAGCTTTCTGATTCATGCTTTAATTCTCTCCGTGGAAATATTTTTGTTTTATTTTATTTTAGTTGTTGTATGGAGGGCTATTCAATACTGTGAGATCCAGACCAAAGTTGCAGCCTGTCCCTACGCATGTTTACATTGGAGTATGTGCTATTTTGCTCAGTGGGGGGATATGCATTGTTTCAGATTGCAGCCCTAAAGCCCTCTTGAACTCAGTGGGACTTGCTCCCGAGTAACCATATATCGGACTGGGCTCTTCAGTCTCCTGTGTGGTACGGTGTTTGTGCTCCTCCAGCAAACATTTTTATAAATATTTTTCATGGCGCAACAGGGTTGCAAAACCAAAACAGCTCCTCTTCATGTTTATCTGGCGCCCCTGCCCCATCCCAGTAAATGTAATGATTTCTGAGCATCCTGACTTTCCTTCCAAGCTGTGATTATGGGGTGGGGGAGTTCAGGAGATTTCTGCAATAAACTAATTGCACGCAAAGGCAGCCAGTCTCCCAATAACACATTATTCCGTGCGTATGCAACATTTGTGACTTGTTCGTAGGGACAGAACTGTTTGCTCTTAAAGGAACAAGCCAAATAATCACTGTCTGCTTCAGTTGAAGGTGGGACAATGAGGATTGATGGCGGTATTTTTAAGCCTCTGATCTTACCTTTCAGCTGTCACAAGTTCAGGCCTGAGTTGCTAGCACAAAAGATGTTGGAAGTTTGGTTATTAAATTTGAGTTTCTGAAAAGTCCCGGCTTAAAAAAAAAAAAAGGATTTAGACTATTGTGTGGTGAAAGTTAGACCTGTATAACAGAGACATAAGCAAGAATATATGTGCACTTTGTGATTTATGGATTGAATCATTTCAAGTTAGTGAGGGAAAAACTTCTTGCAAAGGCATGGGATCATACTTTTTGTTATTTCAAAGTATTTTTTATGTGCATAGATTAATTTTCACATTGTACTTTTTAAGTGGTTTTATCTCCTGTGGACTGTGTGTGAGATCAGTGGTATACTTCAGGCGATGGTACAGAATTGTAAATAAATGCAATGCTTTATATCTGAGTTTGGGTACCTCATTTTTTGGGGGACCATCTTCAGACACTGGGGTTTTTCTAGAAGCAATGCAGACACCTTTCCCTCTAAATGCTGCCAGAAAACAGGACCAGAATTTACCGCCTACCTTGGGGAGTGAAATACCACTTCTTAGCATGTGCTAATTTATTCAAATTCATGAATGTTTAAAATTATGCATCTCCTAGGATTGCAAAATAATAGTATGTCAAATGAGAGAAAACTGCACTTTCTCTTCTTGCATGCTCCCTGCATGAAAACAAAAATAAACAAAGTTCCACGCCTACTTAGGTCTGGCTTAATAGCATGCCTAAACCAGTCCATCAGCCCAGTATTTTTCTCTTAACGACACCTGCTTGCAAAATGATTATCTGTGTTCAGAGATATCTGCAGTCACTGCTGCCAAATAATTATCACCAGGGCATTGTGGCCAGAAGAATTAAGACCGGAATTTGATGTTAGATCTCCTGGGGCCCAGCAGATGAAGGCTAAGCCTTGAAGGAATGATGTCCATTGTTCATGATACAGATTGCCCAGTTCCACACAGCTAGCTAACTTAGAAGTGAAAAAAACAACAACAACGCCAACCTATAGTGCAATGTGAAAATTTAAAAGCCTAATTCCAGGATGCCCTGTTTCTATTTTATTAGGCATGTCATTGGCTCGCATTAGTGTAACCAAGATCTAAAATTGTATACATCTCTGTGTCAGTCTGCTGCTCTCATCTAATACCTGTGCACGCCCTTGCAGGTCCAGTTTCTCCTGACTGCCATATCCCTCACTATTATCCTATAGCATCACCAACCTGTCTCTCCGTTTCAGGTGCCTGCTGTACAAAAATCACATTCTCTCTCATGATGGATTTTCATCCTCTTAACTACTGCCTGGTCACGCCTCTCCCTTTTGCCTCCAAACTGCTGGAGCATGCATATGCCCGCACTGCCAAGGGAGAGTGCCCTCCCAGGCACGGGATAGCAGCTTGGGTGAACGGAGTGGGGCGCATGCCCTGCAGCCAGGGGCAGAGCGAGCTGCCTATGGGAGCGGAGCAGGCCGCTGATGGCAGACATTTGGTGCACCACCCTCCCACAATTCCCAAGCCTCCCCCAAGCTGTCAAAACGAAAGGGGAAGGGGGGAATTCCACCATGAAAGCGGCGCAGCTCCCCCCTTACCCCGACAGCTCAGGGTAGGCTTGGGAGTCACGGGTGAGAAGCACGCCAAATGTCACCCACCTCAGTGAAGACACCCGGGGTGGTCTGCCCCCGCCGCACCTACCCTTCCTCCACCCCTGCATGCCGGTGACCCATTTTAACACGGCTTCTGCTCTTTGAGCGCCTGTGAAATCTCCAAGACAAACTTCTCACTGCCAAGTCCTGGGATGTGGGCACATCAGGTTCTGCATTGTCCATGCTGAGTGGAAGTGGCTCTTCTGGGTTTTTGGCAGGAGTCTTCCGTATCCTGCAACATGCCCCAGACACTCTGGGCAGCTTCTAACATATATAAAAGCATAATTAAACATTTAAAAACTTCCCGAAACAGGGCTGCCTTTGGATGTCTTCCATAGGTTGTATAGTCACTTATCTCCTTGGCTTGGGGGTTGCGTAACCTCCAACATTTCTCCGATGAAAATAGGGACATCCTAATGGAAAGTGGGACATTCCAGGATCAAATCAGAAATCCAGGAGTGTCCCTGGAAAATAGGGACACTTGGAGGGTCTGGTCTTTCCCAGCCCTGCCAGGAGATATCAGGGACTAATCCTGAGAGTTTCTGCACGGAGGGCTCTACCACTGGAATGTGTGCAGCAGGTGTAGGTGGGAGCAGGAAGTCTCAATTTCAAATATTTGGCTGTGCTTTCCAGCAAATAAATCACTGCTGACTGCCATGTAGGACTCGCTCTGGTAGGAGGACATGGTTTGTTCTTGATCAACCAGCATGCAAAACTTTTTTTTAATGATGAGAAACAAGGCTGAAGTATAGGGTGGAGCGAGCAATTGGCCCACCCTATGACTTTCCCCACATTTACTACCCTTGGCCAGTGATAAGATTTCTTATTCCTTAAATATGCTCCATGAACATATACATGGCCTTGCTTCTCTCCCTTGGCTCAAACCCTCCTCAAAACCAACATTTTCTGTGTGCCCTTTGTCTTCTTAAATTTCTTAACCAAGCTTCAAGTACATAACAATGACACTTGTCCACGTTCTTCCCTCCCATTCTCTTGTCTGTTGTTTCCTTTGTCTGTGGTTTCCATGTGGTTTGTTTCAGGTTGTAAGCTCCTTAGGAGCAGGGACTCATATATGTTGCATGTGTAAATCTGCAAGGTGCCATCATGCACACTGATGGTACAGCATGCGGAAATAAAAATATATCCATGCTACAAGAGCTAACTCTTTATTTAAGAGAAAAAACTACACTCTCTGTTAATGAATTGTTGACTTATTACTCAGCAGAATCACATACCCCCCAGAACCGTGACAGCAAAATGTGGGACACCAAGTCCCTGGACGCCATCTTCCTGTTTTTTTCTTGTGAGAGCATGGCGGCCATTTTGGGAGCCGTGATCTCGCATGATTTCATGCCACAATTTTCCACCAAAAAAGCGCTTTTGGGGGCATGGTGCCCAAAAATGCAGCACCCAAATTGGCTGCTGTTCTCCTGCAAGAAAAAAGGGGATGTCTTCAGTGCAACTGCATTGATTTGTCAAAATCCTGTTTTGGGTTGTTAAATAGTCAAGTCTTCATACACAAGACAGATAAAGGTTCGCCAGCCTTTAAGGATCTATGGGCACATTTGGAATTTTGTGATAACGCCACAGGCGCTAGTCACAAAGGGACTGCAGGTGACACCACATGAAATGGCTGCTACATCTTAAAAAGAGCAGAAAAGGAGACAGGACTGTGGACAGGGTGTGGGCATGTACCCCCCCCCCCAGTCTCCCATGATTGGGGCAAAGAAACCTTCATCAGCCACCATCACACTTGTTCATTGACAGATACTCATTGCCTCCCTCCGGAATAGAATGGAGAATGAGTGACTTATCCTGGCATCCAATGAAATATGGGCATGTTTAAGGGAGCGTGTTCAGTGTTGGTGAGTCAAAGTTAGGGCAAAAAAGGAGTTGATTAACCACAGAGGGAGGAAATATTTATTTAAATGATGCTTCTTGAGTGAGAAAATGGTGTTTTTTGCCGTTCCTGAATGCCACTTCTATTCTCTGTGGGATGTTAATAGCTAACAGGGCTGTAAAAGGTTCTCTAATCAGCAGCAGTGGGAAAGAGCTCTGCCCTTGGAGAGTGGTAGCCAGTCAGACTTTGCAGTACAGGGCTAGGTGGACCAATGTGCTGAGGACTGCTCTCTAGATGTGAAAACCCACAAAGCCCTGTCTCTCTGCCTGCCACCGAACAATAATGTGCAGTGTGCGTATCTGTGGCAAGCTTGAGTTTTGAGGGCATGTAAGAACATAAGAAAAACCAACTGGATTGGGCCGATGCACACCATCTAGTCCAGCCCCATGTTCACACAGTGGCCAACCAGACGCCTACTGGCAGAAGCACACAGGCAGGACTTTGGTGCAAGAGCAACTTCTCTTCTTGCGGTTTCTATAAACTACCTGTGACTGTGGAAGTGGAACCTATCTATCAAGGTTAGTAGCCATTGATAGCCCTCTCCTCCACGGATTTGTCTAATCTTTCAAAGCCATCCAAGCTTTTGTCCCTCACTGTCTCCTGTGGGAGCGAATTCCATAGTTTATGAGCTGTGTGAAGTACTTTCATTGGTCCGTCCTGGATCTCCCAACCTTCAGCATTCTTTTAATGTCCCCAAATTCTGGTGTTATGAGAGCTTTTCTCTATCCGCTTTCTCCATGCCATGCATAATTGTGTGTGTGTGTGTGCGCGTGCGTGCGTGCGTGCATGCGTGTGCAAAACTATCTGGTGGGAACTTTGGCTGCCAACACACCACCACCTCCTTGCAGAGCACAGACCCCCATCCCTTCTCCCACAACCCTATCCCTGAGAAGTCCTCTCTGAGGGTAAGGGTAAAGGTAAAGGGGACCCCTGACCATTAGGTCCAGTTGTGGCTGGCTCTGGGGTTGCGGCGCTCATCTTGCTTTATTGGCCAAGGGAGCCGGCATACAGCTTCCGGGTCATGTGGCCAGCATGACTAAGCCGCTTCTGGCGAACCAGAGCAGCACACGGAAACACCGTTTACCTTCCCGCTGGAGTGGTACCTATTTATCTACTTGCACTTTGATGTGCTTTCAAACTGCTAGGTTGGCAGGAGCAGGGACCGAGCAACGGGAGCTCACCTTGTCGTGGGGATTCGAACCACCGACCTTCTGATCGGCAAGTCCTAGGCTCTGTGGTTTAACCCACAGCACCACTGGCGTCCCTCTCTGATGGTAGACATGACTTTTTAATGGGCAGCTCAAGAAGATGAGGAGAAAACTGCCTCTCCTGCCTAAAACAATAACATAAGTTTAGCGGTTAGAAAAGGTGCTTCGCGGGGTGCAAGTCGTCATGGAGGCCATTGGCTTCCATTTGCAGAAGCAACTGTTCCATATTTGTAAACAGAATTACTTGCTTACTCCTAATATAAGCGGTGGGGTGGCCGTTGTTTAGCTTAAAGCTCTAAATATATATCCCCTATATAAATATGGCTCGCAATGCTGAATGCATGTATTGCCTCTAAAGGTAGGTTGCCCCATAAAGAATAAAACAGACACAGAGAAAGAGGGAAGCAGTGTGCTCCCTGTCTTGTCAGACACATTTGTATAGTCAATTTACCATTTTTTATTCATCCTTGTTCCTGGGAAACTCTGCCTCTTTTTTGTTCCTCTGCAGGCAAATTTGTGAGATGCCGTTCCAGAAACAAACCCTGCTTCCGAGGATCTGCGTCTGCTTACAACGCAAAACGTCGAAGGTTGTGTATTGTTGGTTCGACAGCACCTCTCCATTTGATTCATTGGCTAGATCTCTGTGGGAAAT